ATGAGGACCTGGATTGTTGGGGGCAATATGCTGACTCTGTAAACCGCTTAGAGAGGGCTGAAAGCCCTATGAAGCGGTATATAAGTCTAACTGCGATTGCGAGTTAGAGCCAAGCAAAAATAGTACTCATTCGTGCCAGACTGAGATTAATCTGGAGAGCCAGGAAGAGGAAGTGGAGGGGAGTGGCCTCGAATGTAACCTCAGTCTCGGGGGACACGAGAATACGCATCTGTGACTCCTCCCACAGATCACTTTGGAGACAGACCATGGCTGTAGAAGATTGTATAATCCTAGATACATATCCTCAGAAATTATTGGGCCTGTCTCCCCATTAATGGGTATAGGGCTGTGTTATAGTTAGTTAAAAAATGAAAAAAAATACTCTAAATCTTTTACTTAATACAGCTGTTTAGTACCTGAATTCACCTGGAAGCATTAACATACCAGAAGCATTGATTAGTTATCTTATTCTATTCACAGGGAATAAAATACTGAAAGATTTGACCAATTCCATCTCTCTTGAAGCTTCTCCAATATGTCTAAGCCGACGAAGAAAAAAGGAAGTTTCCTATGCAGAGCCTAGGCTGAATAAGTTAGTTTTGCATTTTGTTCCACATATTTTTTAAATTGGAATGTACAAATTGGATGCTGTTTTCTGGACATGAAGTCAGTGTAGTATTTATAACAAATTATCTTTCTTTCCTGCAGGAAACTGAGGCGTGGTGACCCCTTTACAATGACTGACTTCCTCAGTTCCCCCATCTATAAAACAAAAAAGAAGAAGTTGACAAAAGGAGCCGAAATGTCCAGGAAAACCAAGAAAATTAAAACAGCAAATTCATCTTAGATTTGGTGCTTAATCTTTAGACAAAGAATAACACAATTGTTTCCTAGGTATGAGGTTTTTTCCTTAATTCAGCGAGTTTTAGCTACTTCATTTTAAAAATAAAATTTATTTTCTATAAATATTTGTTTCTCAAACTAGGTCTGTTGAATTACATCAGATTTATTCTAACTATTTGAAGATTCATTGGAAGACCTATATGTAAACTTGCCAAAACGTCAAAATAACCTGAAAACTAAAATCAGGCATCCCCTCGTATGTCTTCTGTATTATTACCATCACGGTTATTTACTGTAACAGAAGTGTGCCTTTAAAGCGTTATACAACAGCAGAGGAGTGGAGTAAGCCAAGTAGGGTAAAGGAAAACATGACAAAGTCAAGACATTCATTTTGCTTGGAAAGCAGATTTCAGAAAATCACACCTTATTTTCATGTAGAAAACTGTAAGAAAAAATATAAAAAATACATTATGAAGTGTTATTTTGCTGTATGACATTAATCTATTCAGAGATTTTGGAATAATGTTTCAGTAATTGGTGTAAAATTGTTCACTTCTTAAATTGATAGAATTGAACATGATATTTTTAATATCCAAATGAATCTTATCTTTGTTCTCAAAGTAAGGATACTATAAAGTTTAGCTTCCACTGTATTTTAAAACCTTCAATGTATAATTAAGACAAGTTTTATTTTTTTGGAAGTAACTGTCATCTTACATGAGGAGAAAGTAGTAACAGTATTTCCCAGTGGGGGGTGTTAAAATGTGTCCCATTTTAAATCTAGATCTACTTCTTCAGAATTTGTTGTGGGGGCAGGCAAACACCATCGTACTACATTTTTCAAGATGTTAAAAATAAATTAATATGATTTTTCCATCAATGAATCAGCAGTAAAATGGTAGATACATTCCAAGGTAAGTATAAACCCCACTCTACATGGGGCTGCCCTTGAAGAGTGTTCGAAGACTTCAGTTAGTCCAGAATGCAGCCGCGCGAGCGATTGTGGGTGCACCTAGGTACACCCACGTTACACCTATCCTCCGCGAGCTGCACTGGCTTCCCATTGGTCTCCGAACACGCTTCAAAGTGCTAGTCGTTACTTTTAAAGCCCTACATGGCATCGGACCTGGCTACCTGAGAGACCGCCTCCTGCCAATTACCTCCCAAAGACCGATTAGATCGCACAGACTAGGCCTCCTCCGGATCCCATCTGCCAGCCAATGTCGGCTGGCGACACCCCGGGGGAGGTCCTTCTCTGTTGCAGCTCTGGCCCTCTGGAACAAGCTCCCCGTTGAGATCCGGACCCTTACTACCCTTCCGGCCTTCTGCAAAGCGACTAAGTCCTGGCTGTTCCGTCAGGCCTGGGGCTGTTGAGTTGTCCAGCCCCACTTCAGGTTTGTGACTGTTGTGCAATTTTAAACTGTTGTTTTATTTTTTTTATATCCCCTCCCCCCTTTTACTGTAAGCCGCCCTGAGTCTCTCGAGAGTGGGCTGCATACAAAATTTAATAAATAAATAAAAGCTGCACTTTTTGCAAAGGCTTATCCCTATGTATTGCTCCCAATTACCTAATTTTTTTTAATTAAATGGGCATCTGATGTTTTGCAAAGTACTTCAGTAACACTGTTCCCTCCTCCACCGCACAATCACAACATTGTACTATTCTTTGAACATAGTTCCAAAGAATTCAAAATAGAATAGTTTATTTCGGATTCTTGTATGCAAACATCTATTCCTGATGTGGCCCGTACAACATTATGATAAATTTTATGGATAAAATGGAGCAAATCCAATGTGTTGCCCATATATGATTTATATCACACATTTAAAAAAAATAGATGATTGCAGTTCTGTGCTTGTTTGGGAACTGGAACTGTTGGACGGGGGGGGGGAGGTAAACTTGAACTGAGCATCCTGGAGACTGGAAACCATGTTCCCACCTTTGTATTTTGACTTCCATGAATGGATGTTCTGCGATGATGACTCTGTGCACTTTAATTTGAAAATGTACACCAGATTTTCATTTCTGTCACAGGTCCAACAGCAATGCCTACACCAGGGGTAGTCCACCTTTTTATACCTACCGCCCACTTTTGTATCTCTGTTAGTAGTAAAATATTCTAACCGCCCACCGATTCCACAGTAATGGTGATTTTATGAAAACCTAATGAAAATGTTTTTAAATAATGCTATGATTTTTTTTAAAAAAGGTCAATGAAATTTTAAAAAAGGAAAGTGCTTCAGTATCGGACAAAACCCCTACCGCCCACCATGAAAGCTGGAACGCCCACTAGTGGGTGGTAGGGACCAGGTTGACTACCACTATAGAAAAGTTGAATGTAATCTGCACTTCCCAATTTTTTCCAGGTTCCTAGGGGACAAGAGATGCTCATACTTACATATCAAGATGTAACTATTGCATTCTTATGTAAGAGCTAGATCTTAGTCTGGTTTAAAACTTGTAAAGCCTTTTTAAACTGAACATTCTATATCCTTTCAAGTGGCATAATAAATGTGCAAGTTGCTGGATTTTAAGTTACAGTTCACAGACCACAGGACACAAGGATGGGTATTAGTGTTTATTTCCTGCTTTAAAAATCAATGTTAACCACCAATCCAAATTGGGTGACAAGTTAGTTTGAAATGCTCCGTCTTAAGCTACATGTGCAAGCAGAAAAGCAGCTTTTTTTCTCTTTAGTCAGCTCCCAGATGTAAGGAAATTCAAGGATTGTTTCTGCCTGTACTGTGTTATAAGGCTATGCCATAGTAAAGCTTCCTCTAAAACTTCTTCCCCACCACAAGTAATTAAAATCCTCTTCTAACATTGCCCATATCAAGCTGGGTGTTTTTCAATTTTGTTAGAATGGTTTGTCAGAAGTGTTTTCTGCATTCTGAACATAATCTAATGAGTTAGAAAGTAAAATTCTTTAAAATGACTTAATTTAGAGCCCATTCCCCTTAAACAAATATTAATTCCCCTAATTCCTGACCAGGAAAAAGCTATTTTCCATAGAGAGACAAACATCAGTTCTGCTGTTACCTGTGCCTTTTCCTCTCTCAACATTACAGAAAGCTAGAGGTGAGAGAGTTTGATCATTACAAGGTTCAGGTTGATTGCTTACTTTTTGAAGTGCTACCCTTATTTCTTTTATGTATATACATAATACATAATATAGTCGCCCATCCACGAGATAGTTGTCTTTCCAGAGCAAATACTTCAAGGCCAGCTCTTACAATCTTGGCTGAGAAGATAATTTTGTCTTCAGGTTTTCAGCAAGTTTATCCATGAATTCAAATGTGTTCAAATAATCAGAGCGTTTCACACTGCGATTAACAAAAAGCAAAATAATCGTGTAAATTTAAGAGTATTAAAAAATCCTCTTAATAAGGTAACTATTTTTTATACAGGCAGGCCTTGACTTACAACAATTTGTTTAGTGACCGTTAGAAGTTACAGTGGTCCTGAAAAAAAGTGACCTATGACCATTTTTCACACGCCCGTTGCAACATCTCTATGGTCACGTGATCAAAATCCAGATATTTGGCAACTGATTGTCCTAGGGCAGTGTTTCTCAACCTTGGCAACTTGAAGATGTCNAGGTGGGTAAAATGAGGACCCAGACTGTGGGGGTGATATGCTGACTCTGTAAACCGCTTAGAGAGGGCTGAAAGCCCTATGAAGCGGTATATAAGACTAACTGCTATTGCTATGGAGAAACCTAATTTTGGTTTCTTTACTGTGAATGAAGAGGAATTCCAGCAAAGAAATACTTAAAAGCTTTTACTATAAGAATAGCAGAACAAACTAACATGTGTATAAATTAATTAATCTTTAAGATAAAACTTCATTCCTACATTTATCTGTTGCTTTACAAACTATAAGATACAGTGACTTAAGAATTGTTACCTGAATTCTTACTTTGTTTCCTAATTTAACTTTGTTCCTTTGTCAGATTCATTGTTCTTAATATTTCTAAAATGACATCACTGGGAGTTAAAGGCCTGTTCATGAACTTTCTAGCATGATTAAATAATCTGAGCAGATTAATTCAGTCTTTATAGTTGGCCCTGTAGCAATTGGTTACTTTATTTCTGCTTGAGAGGAGTGTGCCAGAACCTGAAGAGTATCCTAAATATGAAAAATAGGGTCATGTTAATAAAGTTAATGTTAAACTATGAAGTATATTTAACTTGCAAAAGAGAAAGTTGAGAGGGCCCGATAGCTGTCTTCAGATATTCACATTGTAGGTTTGGACCAATTTTCACTTGCTCCAAACAGTAAAAGAGTTGAACCAATGGGATGAAAATTCAAGGATGTAGATGTAGATGTAGATTAGGGATTAGGAATAAGGTAGTCTCTGATTTACATTTGTTTAGCGACCATTGAAAGTTTCAATGGCACTGAAAAAAGTGACCGACTGGTCATTGCCCTTGTAACCCATGCAGCATCCCCATGAACATGATTAAAATTTGAGTGCTTGACAACCAACATATATTTGCAATAGTTGCAGTGTCCCAAGGTCGTGCAATCACTATTTGTTCCTAGCTGGCTTCTAGTAAGCAGTCAATGGGGGGAATCAGATTTGCTTAATGACCACATGATTCACTTAACAACTACAGTAGGTTCTTTTAGGAACAATGGGATAGGAAAGCATAAATTTGGGCATGACTGGTTTAATAACAGAAATGTTGGTCTTAATTGTGGTTATAAGCTGAGAACTATCTGTAGCTTCTTACAGTAAGAGCTGTCAGCCAGTAGGAGAGCCGAGGTGGCGCAGTGGTTAGGGTGCAGTACTGCAAGCCACTTCAGCTGACTGTTATCTG